TCTATGTTTTTGGCACTATCATCAAAGATCAGTTGTGGATTTATTTCGGGCTCTATTTTATTCCATTGATCTATATGCTTGTTTTGATGCTACTAAAGCCGTGCTGCTTTAATTACTGAAGCTTTGTCATATATTTTGAAGGCAAGAATGTTTGTTCTTATGCAAGATTGCTTTGGTTATTCAGGCTCTTTTGTGGTCTCATAAAAATTTTAGGATAGTTTCCCCCCCCTTTTTTTTTAATTGTCAGAGAGCATGTGCATTTACCAGCGAGAGTTAGAGAAACAGAGAGGGAAAAAAAAAAAAAAAAAAACCCCAGTGGAGCATAGTCAAGCTGCAATCTTCTCTCCATTTCTCTATCCTATTGGGATTTAAGACATGCATGCATATGTGCCAGGTGTGTTTTTCAAGCTGCTGGGGCTGGGATTTGAACCACAGTCAGCCATGTGGGATCCAACTCCCTTAACCACTAGGCTATAGGGCTAGCCTTGTTTTTACCTATTTCTGTGAACAACAATACCATTGGAATTTTTTTTTTTTAAGATTTTTGTCATAGGCTGCGTGTGCTCACTAGAGAGGGACAGTGAGAGGGAAAGTGAGAAATCAGCCCCCTAGAGGGATGAGGAGAGTCCCTTCTCCTCTATTCTCTTCCTGCAATTTTGGGCATGCATGTAGACACACCCACCGTGATTTTCATGCTGCCAGATCCAGGACTTGAACCACAGTTGGCCATGTGGGAGACCACTGCCTTAACCACAATGCCACTTTCTAGCTTTGCCTTTGGATTTTTTTTTCACCCCCTGGAGGCATGATCACACCACAGTCTCCTCTTCTCCATTCTCCTTTGGGGATTTTGGGGGCACACACACACGCACACACACACATGCCTGATGTGAATTTCAAGCCACCAGGTCCAGAACTTGCACTGTAGTCCACCATGTGGGAGTCCAGTTCCCCAACCATTATACCGTCTGCTGGACCCCGCCATTTAAATTTTGATAGTGAATGTATTGAATCTATCTATAGATTATTTTGGGTAATATGGACATTTTATATTAAATCTTTCAATCAGTGAACATGAAATATGTTTCCATTTGTCTGTGTTTAATTTCTTTCAGTAATGTTTTTTAGTTTTTAGTGTACGAGTCTTTTTGGTTTTTGCTGTAGGGTGTGTGTGCCTGCCAGCGAGAAAGAGAAAGTGAGAAATCACCTGATAGAGGGGATGGTCATGCTGTAGTCCCTTTTCCTTTATTGTCTTGGGATTTGGGGAGTGCATGCACACTCAACTGCACGTATTTTCCAAGGCTCTGGATTTGATACTTGAGCAGTACAGTTGGCCATGAGGAATCTAACCACCTTAACCACTACGCCACCTGACTGGCCCCAGTGTACAAGTCTTTTACCATTTTGGTTAAAGCCTAAGTATTTTATTCTTTTTTTTTTTTATGTCATTATAAATGATTATTTCTTAATTTCTTTTTTGGATATTTTATCATTAGTATATAGAAACAATTGATTATTCTGTGTCAGTTTTATCTCCTATAACTGCTGAATTTATTAGTTCTAACAGGTGTTTTGTTTGTTTTAAATGCCAGAAGGTGGGTGATTGCACATGGGAGGGGACTAAGCACCCTTCAGTGGGGCAAGGACATGCTATACTCCTTTTTATTCTGATTCTCCATTCTGTCAGTATTTCGGTGTGTTTTTCAAGCCACTGGGACTCAGATTTGAACTTTGCTCAGCCATGCAAAATCCGACTTCCTCTGCCTATCATTTACCTATTGTGCTATGGGTCCTGCCAAGTTCTAACAATTTGTTTAATGAAATTTAGGAGTGTACCATTTTCTGTGTATAGGATCATGCCATTTGCAAACAGAGACAGTTTTATTTCTTCCTTTCCAGTTTGGATGTCTCTTATTTTATTCGTTTATTTTTTTTTTGACTAATTGCTCTGACTAGAACTTCTACTAAGTTGAATATAAGTGGTAAGAGTGGGCATCCTTATTTTGTTTTTGAGGAAAATCTTTTAGTGTTGAGTATGATATTAGCTATGTGCTTATGTCAAATGAACTTTTTTATGTTGAGTTATATTTCTTCTGTACCTAATTTACCTGAGAGTTTTAATCATGAAAGGATATTGAGTTTTGCCAAATATATCTCTTCAGATGGTTATATCGTATTTATTGTGGTATATCACATTTATTGATTTGCCTATGTTGACTCATCTTTGCATTCCAAGGATAACTCCTGTTTGATCATGGTGTATGATCCTTTAGATGCACTGTTGGATTCAGTTTGCTAGTTTTTCTTTTTATGATCTTTATGTTCATCAGGGATATTGGCCTATAATTTGACTTTTCTGTACTGTTCTTGTCTGGCTTTGGTATCACAATAATGATAGCTAGCATTATAAAATGAGTTTGAAAGTACTACCACCACGTCTCTATCATTTGAAAGAATTTGGGAATTGCCATTTGATAGAATTAAGCAGTGAGGCTGTCTGAGTCTAGGCTTTTCTTTGCTGGGAGTTTTGTGCTTTTTTTTTAAAATTTTTTAATTTTTAAAATTTATTACTAGGTTGGGAACTAGCAGTTAGTGTAATGGCTTTGTTGCTGGACTCCCATGTAGTTGACCGCGGTTCACGTCCCGGACCCGGTGGCTTAAAACTCACGCCGGGGGCGTGTGGGTGCGTGCGTGGGTGCCCAAGATCCCGAGAGGAGAATCGAGGAGAAGGGATTGTGGTGTGACCATCCCCCCTGGGGGGTGATTTCTCGCTTTCTCTATGTCTCTCTCTGTCTGGCGAGCACACGGGCCCTATAGCAAAAATCTCTCCCCCCCAAAAAAAATTTATTACTAGGTCAGTCTTCTTACTCATTTTTGGTTTGTTCAGATTTTCTATTTCTTCATTATTCAGTTTTGGTAGATTGTATGTTTCTTGAAATTTACCCATTACTTCTGGCTATACAGTTTGTTGGCACATAATCTCCCTTTGTTTTTTATTCAGGATCCCTCATTAGAGTATACATGCCCTGAACTTCTTTTATTATAATGTGTACATACACATTACTTATCATTATATATAAGTATTACTCCCAAAAAGTGATATTTTTCTAACCTAAATTTCTCATTTTTACAACTTGCTTCTTCTTGCCTTGCCTCAGAATTCCTGAAAATCGTTTTTGGGAGGTAAGAAGGGTAGGATATGTTAAATTTTCAAAAGAATGTGGAATTCATTTTTCTGAGATTTTTTTCTTAATAACTTCTTTTCATCTTCCCTTATAAATAAGCTTTAATCTCAAAGTCTTTGCCATCAGTTACTGTCTCTAAAGCACAGTGGTCTGTAAAGGTGTCTTAATTGTGACTTTCTAATTTTCTCATACCCTTGTAACCTGAGGCCATGAATGGGTTCAGCATTCATTGCATCTTTACTGATATTTTCAGACCAGCATTCATCTATTAGACCAGAACACCCTTGCCTTTGAGGTTCATGTCTTTCCTTTCTTATTGCTGTTGTCTCCATTTTTATGTCAGTTCCCAAACATTTACTGAGGATTTGGGCATCTGTCTTACAATTTTTCTTTCAATCTTAAGTCTTGGATTATTCTATAATCTTATGTCCATGTTCATGTTTGTGACCCATGCACTTTCTTGATCAACTCTGTTTCATCTATCTACCCCCAAGCCCCACTGGCCCTTGTCATTGGCATCAAAAACCTTGAACCTGAATAATCCTACTCTATACCTATAACCTCCTGTTTCTCTAACTCTTCAATTCTCCATTTACCTGTTTTCTGACCTCAGGAGGACCTCTGTCCATTAATCTTTTCATTTTATACCAATTTATTATCCTTTTCCTCACTTTACTTCATTATTGTGCTTAGATTGCTTGGTATATCTCTTAAATTACTCCCTTATAATTACCCTAAAATCCATCTCCTTCAACCACAGTTATTTTATAACCCACAACTATGGGTCATTGTGGTCTCTTTATTCTTTAACTGGGTAGCTGGTTGCTGTTGGACAACATCACGTAACTCATACATTATTGGTATCATTATAGATCTGTGTCCTCACTTCTCAGCAGGATCTTTATGACTTGTCTTTTTTCCTAATTGTCCTCAGACCGTGAGACTCATGTTCCTCCTACCTACTCTTCTATACCTTAGCCATTCTTAAATCCTTTATCATCTCACTTTCCTAAACATTCTCTATACAGCATTTGCTTTTGAAGATTCTTAGTTGTTAAGGAATAAGTTAGTGACTAGGCTTCTAAGCCTGATCTTTAATATTTTCTTAAGAATCTTTGCCCTCTGTTTTGAGCAGAAAGAAAATAAAATCAACAACTCTTTTATGATCTGGAATTTACTTTTTTTTTTTAATTTAAAGTTTCCCCATAGCAAAATATTTTCATGGTGATATGAAATTAAATAATCGGGGAACCAGCAGTTAGTGTAATGGCTATGTCGCTGGACGCCCATGTAGTCGACCATGGTTCGCGTCCCAGACCTGGTGGCTTAGAACTCACGCCGGGCGTGTGTGTGCCCAAGATCCCAAGAGGAGAATGGAGGAGAAGGGATTGCGGTGTGACCATCCCCCCGGGGGGGTGATTTCTCGCTTTCTGTCTCTATGTCTCTCTCTGGCGAGCGCACGTGCCCTATAGCGAAAACCTCTTCAAAAAAAAAAAAAGAAAAGAAAAAAAAGAAATGAAATAATCGTAGCTTTATTTAGTATAGAAAATAGTAAATATAGAATGAATTAAATCAATCAACTATATTTTGTTCTTTCTAGGACATTAAATTGTATGATTGGGCAGATGAAGCATATCTTGGCTGCAGAACAAAAGAAAACAGATTTTAAACCAGAAGATGAAAATAATGTTTTGGTTCAATATACTAATGTAAGTAAAACAATTCAGTTTGCTAGTGAGACTATCTACTATGTTACTGCTTTAATATTTTTTATTGGTGTGTCCTTTGTACCCTAATTTTTTTTTTAATATTTAGAAATTAGTGAGAAACCAAATATATTTTCTTCTTAGCAAAGCTGATATACATTTCTATATAATAAATATAGAAAAACTTTTACAGGCCTGTGTAAAAGTCTGTGCTTATGTAAGAAAACAAGTGGAGAAGATTAAAAATTCTATGGATGGGAAGAATGTAGATACAGTTTTAATGGAACTTGGAGTACGTTTTCATCGACTTATTTATGAGCATCTTCAACAATATTCCTACAGTTGTATGGGTGGCATGTTAGCAATTTGTGATGTAGCTGAATATAGGAAGTGTGCCAAAGACTTCAAGGTATGTATATGTAAATATCAAGTTTGAAAATAGAATCAGAAATATAAGTCAGACCATTAAAAGTCTGACTTAGAATGAGTGAAGATTTTATAACTTGTTGATATAGTAGTGAAATGGATTTAATACATCTTACATGAAAAAGTGTTAATTCCAACTATATTTTCTTTTTTAATTATTTAATTTTAGTTTATTATTATATTTTTAATTTGACTAGAGAGAGAGAGAGGAAGTGAGAAAGCAAGCCACCATATCCAGGACTTGAACAGTGGTCAGACATGTGAGAGTTCCTTGCCTCAACCACCCAGGCCACATGCTGGCCCCCCAGTCATGTTTCAGTATTAGCATATTTTTTGTGTTGTATTTTATTTTAGACAAGACCATATTTCAGTTCCACAGTCCAAGTGGCCTTATTGACATCCATGACTAATAGTGTATATGTTAGGCATTAAGAAAATAGCATTCTTTCTTCATGTATGTTTCTCTGAAATTTTCCCAAAGATTTAAATTATTTAAGAAAAGTGCTATATTAATAATAACTAGTTCTATTGCGTTATTGGAAAGTCATGACATATTTTTTCTGTTTTTCTGTGCAAAAATGTGTCATGACTTTTCCAATGACCCTATAGTTCACCAAAGTATAAATGGTTATTTATTATTATTTTTTTAAAAAAATTGAAAGGCCAGCTGGTGATGTGGTGTTAAGACAGCTGGCCAACTATTCAGTTCAAGTCCTGGACCCTGTGGCTTGAAAAACATACTGGGCACGTGTGCATGCAGGCCCAAAATACTGAAAGGAGACATGGAGAAAAAGAATTTAGGCATTGCCTTCCCCCATGGGGGATGCTTTTTCATTTTCTTTCTCTCTGTGTCTCTCTTTGGCAGGTGTATATGCCTTATAGCAAATTATAGACTTAAACAGACTTAAGTATGACTCTTCAAAAGATTATACAGTGTATATAACTACTGAAATCTTTGAGTTTTAGTGCTTTTGAGGTTTTGAAAAATTCTAATATATTGAAATCCCAAACTAGTAAGTTTTGACTTAGTTACAAACTAATTTTAAAACTGGAAATTATTCTGTTTCTGTTTTTTTTTTCTCTCTCTCTCAATTCAGATTCCAATGGTGTTACATCTTTTTGATACTTTGCATGCACTTTGCAATCTTCTGGTAGTTGCCCCAGACAATTTAAAGCAAGTCTGCTCAGGAGAACAACTTGCTAATCTGGACAAGAACATACTTCACTCCTTTGTACAACTTCGTGCTGACTATAGATCTGCCCGCCTTGCTCGACACTTCAGCTGAGGTTGAATTTACAAAGCAAATGTGTGTACTTCAGCAGGTCTCGGTTGATAGAAAGCACAGGAGACTCCTTACGACATAGCCAACATTTTATGGAACAATTACTGGAAGAAAACAGCAGCCATACTCACCCTTCAGGTTTTGTTTGAAATTTGGACACCACTATCTTTGTTTTGCCTTTTTCCCCTCTAAGTTGAGTTCTAATTCCATTCTTTAACTTACAGATAATGAATTCTGTAAATCTACATGTTACTGTTTTCATTCTGGGAAAATGTTGGTGTCAGAAAGCAAATGAAATGTTAACCAGTGTTTCAGTTCCTGTTTAACATATTCCATTTGGAAATTTTACCATCCCGTTTTTGCATTAGTAATACATGGAATACAGCCAAACTGCATTTATTATTCATCAATTTTTAATGACCCTTTCAGCACTGGTGATTGTTATCAAATTATTTTATGTTTCCCTAAAGAATTTTTTGCCTTTTTCAAAAGGTTAACATTTAAGCATAGATCTATAGTTGGTTAATCAGATTTTTTCTGAGGTACAACAATAATATGATTCCAAGAAATGTTTTAAACTGAACTAAAATGATAAAATGTTTTATGTAGATATTAGGAGTGGATCAGAATATATCTGCTTTTTGAGTAAAACTTAAAGTTTACTATTTCTTATTTGGTAAATAGACTTAAAGCCAATTCTAGCAAGAAATTAATAAAACTACCGTATTTTATATTTCACTTAAGGTGGAGGACCTTGACTAAAGGACCATATTTATTCATTATTTTAATATAAAGGAAGTAAAAAAGTGAGGTATAGGCCAACTGGTGCATATGAGAAATATTGACAATGTTTAGCAACAGTGCAGACCTTTGCGAGTTCTCTCTTAATGCTCAATTTGAGTAAGATGGAGTGGCTAAACATGTAGATAGTCTTCTATTTTAAGAGGAATTGGAAATTGATAGATAACATATTCAAAGTGTGGAGACAAACTTTCCAAAGAATTGTTGCTTTTCATCTCTCTAGTTTTGTCATTCCTGTTTTTCAAGGCATTTCTGAAATAATTCATACAGCATTTATAAAATTTTAAATATCATGTGAGAATTTAGAAAGGCCATTATTTTATAAACTCTGTGAAATTGCCCTACAAGAGTGCATCTAAATTATATGTATTGTTTCAACTTCCCTTGTGTTCGTAGTCTTCCAGGAATGGATAAACTTCTCTGTTCAAGTCATGATTGGCATTTTTTTTTTTTTTTTTTTTTTGTGGGGTTTGGCCCTTTTTTAAAAAATAGTTTATTTCTTATTTGGTAAATAGACTTAAAGCCAATTCTAGCAAGAAATTAATAAAACTACCGTATTTTATATTTCACTTAAGGTGGAGGACCTTGACTAAAGGACCATATTTATTCATTATTTTAATATAAAGGAAGTAAAAAAGTGAGGTATAGGCCAACTGGTGCATATGAGAAATATTGACAATGTTTAGCAACAGTGCAGACCTTTGCGAGTTCTCTCTTAATGCTCAATTTGAGTAAGATGGAGTGGCTAAACATGTAGATAGTCTTCTATTTTAAGAGGAATTGGAAATTGATAGATAACATATTCAAAGTGTGGAGACAAACTTTCCAAAGAATTGTTGCTTTTCATCTCTCTAGTTTTGTCATTCCTGTTTTTCAAGGCATTTCTGAAATAATTCATACAGCATTTATAAAATTTTAAATATCATGTGAGAATTTAGAAAGGCCATTATTTTATAAACTCTGTGAAATTGCCCTACAAGAGTGCATCTAAATTATATGTATTGTTTCAACTTCCCTTGTGTTCGTAGTCTTCCAGGAATGGATAAACTTCTCTGTTCAAGTCATGATTGGCATTTTTTTTTTTTTTTTTTTTTTAGTGTGGGTTTTGGCCTATTTTAGAAAACTGCTTTCTTTGGAGAACTGATTCTTAGTGGTCATCAACTTTACCAAACCTTCCAGGTCCAAAACTGTTTAAGTTACTATTGACTGATTTTCTTCATTTTCTCTTTAGCTCAGTGTTATCAAGGTAAGCAAGGAGAGTGAAGTATGCCAACTTCTGTCAAAACATTTTAGGACATTGTGGCAGCTTTAGAAGGCTGTCTAGTTTTCTATTCTTTAGCCAAGGGAGAGACAGAACAGGTTTTGGATACTAGAGAAAGTCATATGCTGTACTGTTGCCATTTTAGAAAGCTCTGATGTGAATTCAAATTATACCTCTGTTATTAAAGCCAACAATTTAGGGCAGTAGTTTTACTGGCCATTTGAACTCTTTGTACAGTGTCAATTTGTAAAAAAAAATAAAAAGAAAAAAATAAGAAAAGAAAAAATCTCAAAATATGAGATAACATTTTAAGACTTCCAGATCAGAGAAGCGCTTCAAATTATTTTGTTTGAATTAGTTTTTAAACTGTTAAGCAAATATTTGTTGCTTCGATATTTTGTTAATTATTATTTCCATGCTTGAGTTCTGTGCAATATTTTCCATTATGTCCATTGATCGGACAGTGACAAAGAAAACTCATAAGTGAATACTTAATTTAGAAGTGTTGACATTAATGCTCAATAAACAAATTCCCTGGAATTTTTTTTATTTCACTCTATTTTTACATGTTAATGACATCCATATTGAATTTTATAAATAATCTGTTATTTAACATTTTAAGGTTTTCCTTATTTTTTCATTGCATTGATTTCACTTTTTTAGCTGAATAAGTACTTAACCATATAGCCAAGATTACAAATGTAACCCAAACCTATGGTCTTTCTTTAAGAAAAAAGAGAATGTATTATAGGAAGCAATATGCATTCTTTGTATTCAGATTTTTATATTTATAGCCATCACAAAATTTTGTCCAAAATTTATGGCTCCAAAGAGATGACTAATAAGTAAAATGTTTTTCATATACATATGATAAAGTTTTAGTAGAGATAATGGATAAAGGTGAACCTGCAATAATAATAATAATAATGTTAAAGTTCATTAGTAACTTTAACATTAAAAAAGGTGAATGTGCAATATTCTGCATTTCTACATGAGCTAACTGACAGTAAACATTTAGGTAATGTATTCAAGTTGAAAGTATGTCCTATAACTGCAAATTGTTTTTCTAAAATTTGAGTATATTATGTGAAATATAAAACACAGGTTTAAGAAGGAAGTATAGCTTCTATAAATTATGATATTGAAAATGAGAGTCTACCAGAGCAGATGAAGAGTCATTATGAATTATTAAATAACATTTGATCACTCTAAAACAATTATCAACCTCATTTTGAAGATCACCAAGGCTAACAGCCCTTTCTTCCTTATTTTAAAGACTGATACAGGAAGTTAAATTAAAATTTTTTTTAACTTGCTAGAGGGCACTTGGCTGGCCAGGGAAAGGTGGAGAGAGACAGAGAGAGAAGGAAAGTGAAAAAGCACCCTAGGGCAGGTTGATTATGCCTCAGTCCCTTCTCCTTCTTTTCTCTCTCTTTTCAGGATTTGGGGCGTGCATGCACATCCACCTGGCCTGTTTTTCAAGCCATTTGGTCCAGAATACAAGCCACACTGTTGGCCATGTGGGATCCAGCCACCTTAACCACCAGACCACAGGGTGGCCCAAATTAAAATTGAATTTAAAGTGTGTTAACTTCCATTATGTTATAGATTATTTTATTTCTTCTTATTATTATATAGGTTATTTTATTATCTTTCTGGTATGCGCCTTCTGACTGGCAATGAAGCTAGTTAACTATCAGCCAAGAGATTAATTCCAAGTGGAGAATTTACTGCTTCTTTAAAATGTCTTTTGCTCACCTCTAGTGATGAATATTTACAGGTATCCAGATAAAGAGATTTTGATTCCTGAAATGTCACAAAACCCCTTAAGATGGTCATGTTTATAGGTAGTGATTAAGGCATGCTTGAACTTTATGTGAGAGAAAAGATAGCAGGGGTCACTCAGTGCATAATTTTTTGGTGACTAAAAATGTTTCTATCTGGAAGATTAACTTTTTTAAATGCAAAAATATTCTACACACTGCCTACTTATTGCCTGTTGGTCTCTCAAAAGTATGAGATGTTTTCCAAAAGCAGACTGAGTTCTCCTGATTTTTCATGGAGAATTTGACATACAAAGTTTTCTTTGCTTTCATCCATTTAGTTTAAATATATTCAGTTCCTGTCCTGCTCTCTGCTTAAGGTCTATCCTGTAAGACATTATGTACTTAGGGAGAAAAGACCAATCCATATTGTTAGGCTCAATAATTTTACATGAAGTAAAATAGCAGTTTTTAAACTTTTAGTGTGTATAATAAAGGTAATTATAGCAACATTATTGACTTAAGACCCACTCAGTATGTTGAGTCCTTAACATATATTATCTTACTTGATCCCAAACCAACCCCAGGATTTGGGTACTGCTATTTCCATTTGATAGATGAAAGATCAAAGGCACAAATAGAGGGAGACCTCTCAGGGTCTACAGCTAGTAAAAGGCTCAGATTGAAACCTAAATCTTCCTCACTCACTCTTATCCCTATATTCTGTTCTCCTTAATTTGGTAACATTATATCATACTGTTTGATAGGTTTCTTAGTTTTGCTTAATCTAGTTTTCTTTTTAATCCAATATTTGGTTCTCATTGTAGTGTTTAGAGTATGAGGTTGGTATACAGGATCAGTATCTAATTTACTATTAGAATTTTTTTTAATATGTCCATTGTGTAGCCACATTTTTCAAATTTGGTTTTTAAAGTAATTGTGTATCGGGGTATGAAATTTTAAATGAATATGAAATTTGTACTTAATAGAGATATGTCCATCACAAAGTTATCTTTAGTGAGCACTATTTTATATAATTGTTTCTGATTAATAATTTTCATACTTGAGAGAGTTTGGGTATTTATACCATGTCTTATAACACAAGTAAATGACAACTCTACCTTGGAAGAATGATAAAGTTGGCAAAATTTTAAGTGTCACAGGTTTGCCAACTCTGGTAACTGTTTTTAGTGTACTGGTACTTTTTAAATGGCTAAATCTGGAGTAAAAATGTAGGGTAAAAAGCATGTAGTATTTTACCAATAGGAAGTCATTTTCATGCAGTCAAAATTGCATGTTAAATCTATTTAAGATTTCCTTAACTCTTCCCTTTTATTCCTACCACTGTTCAGTCATTTCTCTTTCCCAATTTAGGAGAGGAACAACCTTTCAAGTTTTACATGGGACAGAAAACCTGAGAAATTATAGACAATAAGAATTTTAATTGGTGAATCGGAACAGCTAGGTCAATAACCTTGAGCTTAGCAAAATTCATTTTTTTAGACGAGGATCCATGTCTTTTATCAATGTTATTTGGTAGGTACCAGTAAACTTCAGTTCTTATGATTAAATAACTACTTTGGGTGTGTGTGGGGGATACACAAGTGATTAAATACACATGCTCATTTACTAAGTGTTTAGAAGCGTGCATGCAGTCTGGGTCACCATACAAAGCCAATTTAAATGGGAATGTATCATATCATACTCCAAATAGCAAACAACCTCAGAGGAAAGTCATTTATTCAGAAGGCATAGATTTGCTCTAGACAGCAGTGATGCATTACAAATATATAATTATTTGCACTAATATTTGAGCAGGTGGAATGGATTAGAACATGGTCAACATTATGCTGCTGATAACATGTATTTTTCTATATTAATATGTACTGTGCAACATGTATTAAAATTGTCAATAATTCATTTTAGCCAAGATACTAATATTTATATTACTGTATTTAAGAGACAGTATCCAACTGAGCCACTTTTAATTTAAAAATCTGAAACTGGAATTAAGTTTCCTTCCAAAAACCACTTAAATTACTTCATACTCAGTGAAAGGTCAGTAAAACATAACATTATTATGGTGACTTAATAGGAAGAAATATGTGGAGGGTTGAGAATGGTAGAAGGAATCTGGAATAAGTTTCACTTATAGCTCAGAAGAGTGACTTCCTTTGTTTTCACCAGTGGCAATCTCAAATGAAGAAAATGTCTTATCCCTTTCAGCATAGACATTTGTATTAATAAAGATTAGATGGAACTAACTCAAAGGAATTCATCTCTCCTGGTAGACTTTGAAAGTTTTGAGATTAAATTTGATGGATGAAAAGTCTTCCTGGTGCCCTGAAATCTTAAATAGGCAGGTACCCTTGAATGAACCTAT